CGAGCATTAGCCTGTCCTGCCTGCAGAGCTGGCGGGTGATCTGGGGGCTCTCAGTGTTCATAAAAATAGCTTTATCTCAGCAGGGTCTGCCAAGTCCTTCAACACGATAGGTGCAGAGAATACAGTGTGCTCCTTTGGAGGTGCTCACTCCCTCAAAGCGCACGGGAGGATTGATACTTCCTCTAAAACAGGCAAAGAAATCAATATCCAAACAAGCTAATGTAAGGGTGGAAGGATGCGACCTCTTGTAAGTTCACTACTCCTTTAACTGCTTGGTAACACTTCGCAGAGAGCTTTGCTGGTGTGAGATCTCTTACCAGTTCCATAATGGAAGGGATATTTAAACTCTAATAGTACAGGGGTTATTTTGAGGAACTCTGCATTGTAACCCACAGTAACCCCAGCAAGCTGCCAGCTCCATGTTTATGCTGTAAATCCTGGCATGCAAACCCTAAAGTTCTGGAGTCAAATGACCACATGAGAGTCTCATCTTTCATTTCCAAGCCTCCTAGCTTTCAGGAGCACGGAGTTAGAAAGCTGATGTCTGGAAGCCAAAAGACATAGGAATAAGTATGTAAGGAACTAGAAAACACTATAAAAGTAAACTCATGAGATGCAGTGGTTTAAGTCTGTATTATAAGCAGCCTTTTAGTTGCCCAGATTAAATTATGCTAGCAGCATGGACTACTGCATTCAAGTAACAGTGGCTTTCTGACTGCTCAGACCAACGCTGATGAAGCCCTGCCAAGAGCGGCCCTGCACACAAGAGGGGCCCTGCACACAGCAGTGCTGCCAGCACCAGAGCTGCACATGGATCCTACCAGAGCTCCAAGCCCCTGTGTCCAGTCTGGCCTTGAACACTGCCAGGGATGGGGCAGCCACAGCTCCTCTGGGCACCCTGTGCCAGCGCCTCAGCACCCTCACAGGGAAGAGCTTCTGCCTCAGAGCTCATCTCAGTCTCCCCTCTGGCAGGTTAAAGTCAGTTATAAATGACTAGAAAGAGGGATCACACTTAACAGGTCCTTTAGTATTTATGCAGAGATCCCATGCTAAGAGCAGCTGCCAGGCTTAGGAGAGTCAAAAGCCAAACCAAAACCACTGGAGTAGATGAATTTCCTGCCACCACTTTCAGTTGCTGAGTGTTGCAGATCTTTTTCCTATGTCAATTTCTTGTTTTCTTCTTTTATCTTTACAGGATATCCCAATGCAATAAACAAACCAAGAGGAACGTCAGTCTAACCAGCCCACAGCCAATGAACTGAGCCTAAACGCTGTTACAGGACACTTATCAACCTGGCTCTGCCCATGCTTGGTGCAATGCTATGCAGGGCACCTACCCCTTCTGGGTTTGTCTGTTCCATATTACTGTAGCTGTAATAGAGCCACTCACACCAGCAGCACACCCTCCTTCTGCTTGGCTTCCCAGTGTCTATGCAGTAAAGCCAGTGGCTCAGAAGCTTTTGCTCTCCCTTTTAACGTTTCTTTCCTCCTGCAGGAAGAACAGTCTGTTCCAGCTCTGGATTGTTGAGTCTGGCATCGTCTCCAATGACTTTTATTTAGAAGGATTATTCTGTTTCTAATTATATGAAAAAGAAAAAAAAATAAAAGGGGGGTGTGTGCACAAAAAAGGCAAGCAAGGCTTCAAAATGGCTCATAAAAGAGATTAGCAGCAGCAGGTTTCCTGGCTGCTGGAGCGCCAGTGCCAAACAGATGCTCATTGCAGAGGATAGCTGCATCTAGACACGTACCTCCTCTGTACATCTTGCATTCCAGTCTCTCTGCCCTTGTCTACTATTGATCTTTACTACTCCTGCAACATGCAGATGAGAACTGTGATTCAAGCGCAGATGTGTGGCTAAAATGTGCTACCTGTGAAACCACCCCTCGTGACAATAAAAGACCTCTACATAGCCAAGAATGTATTTATTGCTCTCCCTTCACCATCTACTTACCAGCATATATTCCCATGATAACACGTGAAAAGATGATCACTTCATAGGTTTTTGCTAGCTCCGAGGTTCCCATTAGGATTGCAGCAGTAATAGAGAAGAGGTTACTTATCAGCAAAGTGCCCTTTCTGCAAGGTAATAGAAAAGGAGAGAGATTCAGTTGATTTTTTCCTAAGGCCCCAGTAACAGAGAGATCTCCTCTGTGCCATAGTGTCCAAAACTCAAACCACCATCCCAAAGACTACTGGCAGGGACAATGGCAGTTGTCCCAGGGGAATGAAGGCTTTGAGATAATCTTAATGGTCATCCCCAACCTAGTTGATTCTGTGATTCTCAGGAAACCCAAGCAGCAGAATCTGGGCCTGATCTCAGACTTTCCTCATTGCTCTTTACCTGGCTCAGTGCCCAACATATGGCCTTGACCATATTGAAACCGTATAAAATCTTCTACACATGGGAGACAACACGTACTGCTGAACTAATCACCAGCCCATCTGTCTTTCTTACAATCAAAGTGTGTGACTCTCATGCTCCTCATGGGCTTGGCAAGCCTTATCTGAACGTAGAAACTGCTGCTGAAGACTCTTAAACACCACAGTCACGTACCGGCCACAGTTGTTAACCAGAGGCCACACCATGAGGGACCCAAACAAGCCACCCAGAGGGAACATGGACACAGTAAGAGACCAGAGCAGCGTCTGGAAGCCACTGTTCATAGGCACTCCAGTCCTGTTGTAGTAGGTTTGGTTGTAAAAGTCTTGCATGTACTGGAATGAAAGACAGAGCGTGTTTAACACAGTAAGTAAAGTTTCCAGGCTCTAAAAGCTAGTTAACAATTGCCATAAAGCTTTAAGCAAACATCTTGATAAAAAACAGAGTTGGGAAATGAATGCAAGATTGGCATGGAGAAGCCTGGACTAAGTAACTGTTACTACAAGTTATCCCACCCTATCGGATTTGCCTGCTTTCCCGAAGGGAAGGCATTTCTCACGCCCAGTCTCTCCTAGGCACAAAGTCCAAACTACAGCATCATGCACCTTAACACCCCCCTTCTTTCCTGGGGAGCCACTTCTCAGCTCCAAAGCTGGAGAAGTACAAGCACCTGCCCACAAACACCCACAACCTACTGTTACCCTCCTGCCTTGGCTTTTTTTGTAAACCTCCTCCCAGGTCATCGTCCACTCCACAGTCCAACCTACCGGGGCTGGAGAATTGATCACAGACACGTTGTACCCATACTGGAAGGAAGATCCAAACGCAGATATCAGCGTTACCATTGCAAGCAGAAGTGTCATCTTCTGCAGGGGGGAGAGAAAACACGAACACCACCTCAGCAGCAGGTTTGGCTTTGGGTAAAAATAACCACCCTAAAACTTGCTTTCTGTGTTTTTCACTTCACGTTACTCTCTAAAGAAAGCTCAATGGGTTGTTCTCATTATAACTCATTGTTCTGCTTGATTTGCACATAGTCATTACAGTAGTTCATTCTTTTCTTTCCTGGTATTGATGGAACACTTGGATGATGACTAATTGTCAAGTTACACTTCTTAGAATACCACCCCCAGGGAAAAACGTTGCGTGCAATTATTCTTTCTCCGACACCCAAATTGGGTGGTGAAATAACACAGGATATTGGCACAGGGAGGCTTTAAGAAGAAGAGATTTCGTACGAAGTGTCAAAATCCCTTTCCTGCTCATTTGTTCTGCCTCCCACATTTCAGGATCAAGCTCTTTATGAATCTAATCCGATTGCCACCGAAGCCAATTAGAACTTATCCAAGTAGCTCAGCGAGGGCTTGGTGTAAGAGCAAGGGTGGGGTATAAGAGCAGCTCTTTGCAGTTAAGCAGAAGGGTGAAACTGCCACCTGGAGTAGGACCAAACTCTTGGCCCGTTTGTGGTACACAGACCTCTGGGTTACAAGAAACTTGCTTTCGCAATGCTTCGGTTGCTACTTGGTCCTCAGGCCGCCCACACTCTGGTTGCTGAGTTGGTTTGGGGTTTTTTAGTAGCTCACTAATAGCTCTCATTGCTGCTATAAAGTATTTTTCCATTCAGACACATAATTTTCTGTCACCATCATTAGCCTTAATGTCTGCAAGGCTTTATGTCCCAACACCCAAGTCAGGTCCCACATGAAGGATCTGTCATTTCCCTAATGGAACATATTGTCCAGAGAGCTGCTGGTACCCCTTATACTCCTCAGTAGCTCACCTCTGGACATCTGCAGGGGTTAAGGCACTGCAGAAGATCAATCCCAGCTGATCTCAGAGTAAGGATCAGGAGGAAGCTGAGGCTTCCAGCTACATTTTCTAGTAGAATGCTGACATTCTGGCACTGGTGATGAAAAGCAGGCTGCCTTCCCCTCATTAAACAAATCCCGGGAGCTCCAAAGAGCCACTGGTGTTAATTGTTCACATTCAGCACTCTTAAGAAATCCTCTGGCACACACAAGCATTGCATCGTGCAAGAGTGCACAAAAACGCTGTTGCAAAAGGCAGCCCCCATCCAGAAGCATCCAGAGCCTAAAACTGATCGGAAAGTAGGACAGAAACCCCCTGCACAAAAGGGGAAAGTCACACAGAAGTTACATGGCAAGTCAGCTGCAGACAGAGAGAATCTTGAGGCTCAGTTCAACACTACATTTACAGATGAACTGGGTTCAAGAACATACACATCTGTGCTCTCCCTGTGAGCTCACAGTGCATGTGTCAGCCTGAAAGATCCTGGTCATCTCCTACCTGCAGAGCTCCCCCAGCTGCTCCGTGTTGCTGTGGGAGGCTCAGGCTGAAGAACGGAGTCCAGCACACTTACCCCTTTAGAGCCTTCATTGCTGTCAGAGCTCTGCTTCTCTCCTTTCAACTTCATTTTGGTGTTTGAACCACAGCCACCGAGCACAGGTTTTTATAGCCAAAACAGACCAAGCCGCGGATGGAAACGCCCTGCACAGACAATCCCCCTCTGACTTTCCAGATAACATCCAATCAACGACAGGCTTGATCAATCAGTTGAAGTGAGTTGTTGCTCTTGTCCGATCATCCCTTTCCTCTGCGTGACTCCCTCGTGACTTCTTTTTCTTTCTCCTCGTTCAAGCCCGTCGCTGCTGGGTCAGATATTCTGCTGCCAGACCCTGGCTCAAAACAGACGTGCTGCCTAGTTACAGGGAAACAGGCTCCTCTGCCCCACTAGAAGGGGCAGACTTACTGCAAAAGCAGCTAAACGAGCTGTTTCCTCCAGCTATATATACACACAGACAAGTTTAGGGCAACAGAGCTGCTGCAGCTGTGGAGAGGCTGCCTGGCAATCGCTGCATGACATGGAAAATGGGGCATTCTGTGAGGCCCCTGGCAACAGGGACGATGTTTACCATGGGCCACAGCAGACTGTGTTAACCCTTCTGTAGCCTTAAATCACACATCTGCCCTTGGGCCAAAATACTGCTCCTTGTCCTACGTTGCACAGACCAACTTGCTCAGGGCACTTTTGCAGTGCACAGAGAACAGGTTCTTCCCCTCAGGTTTGTTTTTGACAGTGCACAGAACACAGTTTTCCCACCAAAGCATGTTAAGCCCTCTAATGCCAGGTATGCCACGTGTCGCTGGCTTAGTATTAACCCCCTACACTATGAGAGTACTTTGAACAGAACAGTACTTGGTTAATGATTGACTAAAGTTTCCAGAGTTTATCAGAGAAATGCAAAGTTCACAGATACCTCCAGCAGCTGGAGAAACTGCAGCCAAACCTTGTTAATATTGGCCCATCTATCTTTAACAGCCAGTTGTTCATGTGCCTTGCATGCATTCCTTGACTGGTTGCAGTGTCCCTTCCTCCTGGTGAAAGCATCCTGGGCTAAGAATAGGAAGGGGAACAGAAGCCTGGTGCTTTCAGGGTAGTGGAACTTAGTCCTTAGATTTGTTGTCATTTGGTTTTTATTGTATTTGCCTTTTATTGCACTTTGTTATCCCCAAGGGCACCGTTTGCTGGGATATCTTGACAGCAGATCACACCTCAAGAACACTCGTGAGTCTTTCAGGAATTACTCCTGCTGCTCAGTTCCCACTATCACACGCTGCCTTAACTAAACAGAATTGGACTGAGCATTCATTTCACCCATAACTCATCTTCCTCTGCCTCCCTCTGCATTCCCAGTGGGAGGATGGAGCTAGCTGGCACTAACCGAGACACTGCAAGCCCAGCTTTTCCCATGGCTGCCTTCAAACACTGCTCAAAGCACCCCAAAACAAATAGGACAGGTCAGAGCTCACTCAGCAACTAGTTTAGTTCTCACTTTCACAGATCTTTGGCCAGAAGATGGAAAATGGAAAGCAAACCATTCTGCCCCGGGGATGGGGACACTGCCAAGGGGACATATTGCTTACACGGAATTCCTGTACTTTAGAGACAGCATCATTCCTATGGGAGCTCTTGGCAGAATGACCAGAGTAATTACTGAGTATCAGCCACTCTAATACTCTGTAATTACAAGAAAGGAGAATTTTCTGTCATGCCTTTAAACCCTTTCCTTGACCTTGAAGGGATAATCTTGACACATAGAAAAATGGAGCAGGACATGGATGTTTGCCATCAGAAATCCTTCACCACAGTAAATATTTGCTTATGGCAGCAGAATAGCTTAAATATTTGCCAGTCATAGGAAGAATCTGGTAACACCACCCATAAGGTAGTAATTGGCACTGGATGATCCTGGAAGAGATCAGTGAAGGGAGGCAGGTTGTTGAATGAACTTCTCCTTGGACTTTCAGAGCAATTGCAGGAATATAAATTCTTTAAGAGCTGAGGTCCTGCTGGACTTGGGCAGGGAACAGCCAGTAACAAAGAGCCAGTGTTACAGATACTGTCCAAGCACATTTCCAACTTCAGCTACAGCACATATTAAGCTGCTTACATCTGCTCTTCACCTCAGAGTGCATTTACATTAACTCAGGTTTGTATCTTCTCTCCTCTGGGTTCCCATGCGTGTGTGCAGGGAACTATTTAGACTCAGCCCAATTGTCTGTGCTCAAAGCTGGATCCTATGAAACCCTGATTCGTTGGCAAGAATAATTACAAGGGGATTCCTGGTTTCCAGGACAATGAATCTGGAGACTGTTAGCAACAAGCTATAGAAAAGTGATGGTTAGATAGGAGCTGGCCACACTGCAGTGTGCTGATTGCAATGCTTCTGGTAAGGACACTTACTAGGAGACATCCTACAGTATATGGCCAGGAGAGGGCCATTAGCAGCCTTTTCACCTGCATTTTGGGAACAAATTGCAGGTTCAGTCAAGGCTAATTCAATACCCACATGCAGTGCTGAGCCACAACTGGGGCCCTCAAGGTGAAACGATAGTTTAAGTTACACCTTATTTGCCTACAAATAAGGCAGATAAAGATACTGCTTTATCAGCTGCATAAAAGGCTTCCAAGGCAAACAAGCAAGAGGTGGATAAGGCAGCCTGATACCGCAGCAATAGAAAAGGAGGTTGCTGGATAAATAAGCACACTCTGCAAGTAAACAGTAGCAGACATGAAGCTCTGGAACTAAGCGGTAAATGAGACCCTATTTTCACTGCACAAGGACAACGCTAGGTAGCATCCTGCCAACCTCCTTCCTTTTCCATTGCTGCCCTCTAAGACCATCTCAGCCACCCAGACACATCCCCAGAATAAGAACCAAAGGACCAGACAGATCTGTAAACTCACCATATGATCTGACAAGCTGGTCTGGGAACAGTGTGGTCCTTTCTCTTTAGGCAGGGTCATCTGACCCAGAAGATGTTTCAGGAAGGGTTGGAATGCTTAGATATTAAATCTCCATCTGCACCTTCTTCAGCAAAAGCATCTGATAGTCAAAATACCCACCCTGCCCTTTCAGACCTTAGTGGGTTCATTTTCCTATCCAAGAAAGGAATATCCACTGTGCCAGCCAAGACCTGCCTTTAGCCCACTCCTGCTGCTCTGCACCGATTTCTGTGGTTCCCTACAGGGTTGCACATAGAAGACACTTGGAATTCAGTGGAGCACAACAGACATTCTCACTGCCTTGGAGTAGCAGGAGTCACTTGTATTATGCAACCCTAAGCCTTACAAACACAGGTTTGGCAGCATTAGAGTACTCTGTGTTATCGCTGTAACTGTTCTTCATGATGAGATGATGATAGCGGCACAACCAGAAATTACTCTTCTAAGATGTTCTCTGCTTTAGCAACAAGAAGATTTAATCTTTCCTTACAAACACATGGCTCATTAAACACAACTTCGAGGTTTTAAAGTAAAGCCAACATTGCCCAAATCCTCCCATACTACAGAGCCTTGGTTCACTCCTAGAGCTCCAGGAATCGTCTGGCACAGACTCAGTTCTTGGGAAGAACCATCTTGGTTCACTCCTAGTGCTCTGGGAATCATTTGGCACAATTAGACTCAATTCTTGGGCAGAAGGGAATAAAAGGAGAACAGGATTTCGCAATGAATCAGTATCAACAGTACTGATAAGTAGTATAATACTACTGATAGTATGTATCAGTGAGGACTGAACTCAACAGGTTCTAACCAGCTCGTGTCCGGGGAATGAAAAAGGGCAAGAATGCAGAGCTTTCCTTGCTTTTGGAAAGTAATCTGGACTGAGAAGAAATATACATATAAAAGACAGGAAGAGAAACGTATCTATAAATAGGTAGAAAATATTTGCTTTCCTGTACATGCCTTAGTCTTTAAGGCAGACACAAAAGAAACCTGAAGGAAGATCTTGCAACAGCGTCTCATCCACATTCTCCAAGGTGCTGAGACCCATCACAACATGTTTCAACAACATCTTGATAAAGAAACACAACTTTATTTTGTAAAAGTTGGAGAAAACACTTAAAAAACAAGCAAGTGAGGAGCTGTAAATAACGTAAAACACTATCTCCAAACAGCAAACAGATCCCCATCCCCTCCCCGGCAAGAACAGACTGTAGCCTGTGCCTTGGCTACGCACCAGGCACCATCCAGCCACTGGTGAGGGTTGTCCTTGCTGGAGGCTGGGGTGATACATCCACATTTCCCTGAGCACCAAGGGAGGCTGCAGTGCTCGGATTTCCTCTGGAGTCAATAACCGTGCTGCCACCATAAACCCTGATGGCAACAACCCCTGTTCATCAGGGAAGAGAGGAACTATCCATCACCACCACAACACAAACATGTTTGCACACTATTGGCCACATTCAAGTGAAGAACAGGAGCCAGGCCAGAGCTCCCTGGAAGACCACATGGATTAGGACTGAAATCCATGCCCAGGATAGTCCTATTCAGCAGCTACTAGAGTTTTCCTGTCACCATGATATTTGTTCACCCCAGAACTCACAGCACATTTGCCTTGCCAGACAGAAAAGCAAAACCCCAAACAAAGGGTAAGATTTATAGTGGAGGAGGGAAGAAACCCAGGAAGTTGGAGTAGAGCCAAAGAGGATCTTCCAGAGGACCCTGAGCAGAATTCAAGACCAAGGCAGCTGGTATCCGAATGCC